ATCAGCCAAAGTGATATTAATAGAGCTCCCAGTTTATAGTTAATAAAAGAGTCAATTCCTAGGCAGGTTGATAAGAAGTCCGGGGTCCCCAAGGAGGAGAAAGGGGTCTGGGGCTCTTGAAGTGGAGATAGGGGTCTGGAATTCTCAAGGAGGAGGAAAGGACAAACATCTTTTTTTCTCTAGATTCCTTAGTCTTAGTCACATAAAACATTTTTTTCCTTTAAACCAGGAACTGATGATTACACAACAAACAACTCAGTTTAAACTCTGTACTAAGGATTATGTAAAAACAATGTATCTTGCTTGAGGACAGTTTCTCCTTCCTGGAAACCTTCTGGCTAATCCTGTCATCTTAAAATGTAAATTATGGGAGTGGGTCTAGTAAGATCTTTATAACCTTGAGATATTCTTTTGATTTATTGTAATAACTAATTAAAAAGTATATAACTCCCTTGGCTAACACTAGCGAGGGGGGCATTCTCTGTCCCCCTTCTGACGTCTATGTCAGAAGCTTTCTCTGTCCCTTTTTATACTTTAATAAAACTTTGCTACACAAAAGCTCTTGAGTGATCAAGCCTGGTCCCTGGTCCCGAAGTTAAATCTTCTTCGGAGTTCACGAATCCGAAGCTGTTCACCTTAAGCTATCAGTTAAGCAGCCAATTTCCCAAAAGCCTCAAGGTTCTTCCCATGCATGTACATTATCCTGGTGGAGCAGGAGGGTTGCCTGCCAGTATGTTCTCCTGCCAGCACGCTAAAAGAAGAGCCATAGGGCATAGGCTGGCTGAACTTTTTAAAAGTACATGTTATTATAATTGTGATGAAACAATACTTTCTTCTTTGGAAATTGGCTCTTTCCTCATCTTGTGAAGTGCTGCAAGAAGTGTGAAGGACTTTGATTATTTTTTATCATGGTTATTATGTTGAATTGTCACTTAGATGATGAGTGTATATTTCAGAAGCATCCTGGGGTTGGGATTTATAAGGAGGCTCTGGAATGAGTGTCTACTGAGAGGACCCTGGGGAAAGCCAGTGAGGCTCTTTCCAGGTTTCTGTGAAGATTCTTAGTAAGTAAAAGCATACACTTAAGAGGAAAGTACTTTTGCAGTGAGAAATCATTTGAAAGAGACGGAGCTCCAAGATAGTACCAGGGGAGTCCCAAGATTTGTCTTTAGTGGGCATCTTCTATTTGTGTTAAAGTGACAGAGAAGCTCCTGCTCTTTTTTTTTTTTCCTCCTGCTCCTTGAAAAAAGTGCCACCTTACTCTCTCAGAATGATACTCAGGAGCCATAGGCTTAGCTTCGTTGTCTCCACCATTGACCAAAATGTTGTGTCTATATTAGGAAATCTTCTCAACCTTGACCCTCAAAATTAGAAGTGATACTATCTGACATCAGGGCCGTCTTGGATTTATTCCTAGTTACCAAGGTGTGAATATTAAATATAGATTCCAGCAGGTGGAACAGGGGTGTTCGGATTTTTAGATGATAGTCTGATGCTTTTGGCCTGATTATTATTAAGCACCTTCTGACTAAGTCACCTCATGGACTGTGTTGCTTAAATCAAAGAGGTCATTTAATTTTTGTATTGCCAAGCTGAAGTTTCAGGCCATTTTCTTCTATTGGCTCATCAGACATCAGAGACCAAGAAGCTGCTGTGTTCTTAGAAGGAAATATTAACAAATACTGGATGCACCATTATTTGTCATGAGCAGTGAGTCACTGCCAGAGAGTGTTACTAAAAGGTATGTGAGATCTGGCCGCTTGCTGCTTAAAAGCCAATAAATAGGCCAGGTTGGTAGAAAGCAAAGTTTGCTTTTTTCCAGATTCTGGCAACTGGGGATGGGGGTGGTGGACGTCTGTCCAAAGGCTGACTGCCCCCACTGGCAACCACTGGGGCAAGAGCTTTTATAGACAGAAGTAGGGGGTGAAGGGAGTATATGCAGACCATCACAGTCATCTCTGACAGTCATCTTCAAATTGGCATTGATGGTCTGACCAGCATCATGCTGGTTGTTTTAGATATAGTTATCTTCAATTCCAGTATCCATTTCTTTCCATTTCTTTGAGGCGAGGCCAGTTGTCAGAATTGTGGAAACTTATGTTATGGCTAAAGTCTGGTCATCATGTAGTTAACCTCTCCACCTGCTGGGGATTTGGCATCTATAAGACAGCTCACAGGATATGGCTCAGAATATTATCTAAAGCCCTTGAGAAGGAATTAAAGGTCCTTGACTGTGCTTCAGTTCACTCAGTTGTGTCTCTTTGTGACCCCGTGGACTATAGCATGCCAGGCTTCCCTGTCCATCACCAACTCCCAGAGGTTACTCAAACTTATGTTCATCAAGTGAGTGATACCATCCAACCATCTCATCCTCTGTCATATCCTTTTCCTCCAGCCTTCAGTCTTCTCCAGCATCAGGGTCTTTTCCAGTGAGTCAGTTCTTCATATCAAGTGGCCAAAGTATTGGAGCTTCAGCTTCAGTATCAGTCGCTCCAATGAATATTCAGGACTGATTTCCTTTAGGATGGACTGGTTTGATCTCCCTGCAGTCCAAGGGACTCTCAAGAGTCTTTTTCAACACCAGAGTTCAAAAGCATTAATTCTTCAGCTCTCAGTTTTCTTTATAGTCCAACTCTCACATCCATACATGACTACTTGAAAAACCATAGCTTTGACTAGATGGACCTTTGTTGGCAAAGTAATGTCTCTGCTTTGTAATATGCTGTCTAGGTTGTTCATAGTTTTTCTTCCAAGGAGCAAGCATCTTTTAATTTCATGGCTGCAGTCACCACCTGCAGTGATTTTGGAGCCCAAGAAAACAGTCTCTTACTGTTTCCATTGTTTCCTCATCTATTTGCCATGAAGTGATGGAACCAGATGCCATGATCTTAGTTTTCTGAATGTTGAGTTTTAAGCCAACTTTTTTATTCTCCTCTTTCATCAAGAGGCTCTTTAGTTCTTCTTTGCTTTCTGCCATAAGGGTGGTGTCATCTGCATATCTGAGGTTATTGATATTTCTCCTGGCAACCTTGATTCCAGCTTGTGCTTCATCCAGCCCAGTGTTTCTCATAATGTACTCTGCATCAACTTAAATAAGCAGGGTGACAATACACAACCTTGACATAGTCCTTTCTGGATTTGGAACCAGTCTGTTGTTCCATGTCCAGTTCTAACTGTTGCTTCTTGATCTCTGTACAGATTTCTCAGGAGGCAGGTCAGGTGGTCTGGTATTCCCATCTTTTTAAGAATTTTCCACAGTTCGTTGTGATCCACACAGTGAAAGGCTTTGGCATAGTCAGTAAAGCAGAAGTAGGTGTTTTTCTGGAACTCTCTTGCTTTTTCTGTGCTCCAATGAATGTTGGCAATTTGTGATCTCTGGTTCCTTTGCCTTTTGTAAGTCCAGCTTGAACATCTGGAAGTTCTTGGTTTATGTACTGTTGAAGCCTGACTTGGAGGATTTTGAGCATTACTTTGCTGGCATGTGAGATGAGTGCAATTGTGCAGTAGTCTGAACATTCTTTGGCATTGCCTTTCTTTGGGATTGGAATGAAACTTACCTAATGACTACCTTATTTTTATTTGGTCTCCTTTGACTGTTGTCCTCTGTTTCTATGTGTTCTCATTTCTCTGATTAAACTTGACTAAAGTTTTCCACAGACAAAAGGCAGGACATGGGGGGAAGGGCCATAGGGCCCTGTTCCATTTCAGAAGGACAAAGACAGCTGCAGAGTCAAGAATAAAAATACTTGGAAAAAGAATCCTAACTTGGGGGTGGAAATAATATAGCATTCACTCTAATAGAGAAAAAATGGTTGTGGCGAATGGAGTTTTTTTTTTTTTTTTTCCACAATCAGACATCAATGATAGTAACCAAATACCCTTAAATAACTGGAAAGTTATGTCAGTTCCCAGACCATTAAATCTTGAGTTACGGTTTGATGCACAGTTAAAACAGACAAAAATAATTGCCAAATATTTATTATTAATTTTTTACACAGTCCAATTATTTTAACATGTCTCCAAGGTAGTATCAGTAGGCCTCAAAGGATTGTGGGTTGACAGGGCTTGTCAAAGGGCCTCTAGGGGCTTGCCCCCTCTGTCCACAAAACTTCCCTTTTCCCCACCCCCAAATGCTCTGTGATCTCTTGTTGGCTCTAGAGCAAGACAGATGTTTACAGGATCCTGAGCAAGTCCCTTCTCAGCTAAAATTAACAAAGGCAGTAATATTCTCAAGCTCATCCAAGACTGGGGGAAAGGAACTAAATGCTACAGGCTACAGCAGACATGGTTTTAAAGTTTGAGCTCTGGAGTTGTTTGAGAAACACCTTGCTTTTGCTTCATGATATTTTAAATATTTATGGAATTAAGCGTAAAAGAAATCTAATTCAGATTCCAAGTCTTATAGATATTTCTTCCAAGTATGGGCTGAATTCACAGTGACTTTTTCTAGAGAAGCCATTCCTCCTGCTCCTGCACTATTCAGGGGTTCTTAGAAAAATTCAGTCCCCTTGCAGAATCTGTGCTAATTATGCCACAAAAAGTGGAAGGCTATTTGGAGATATACATTAACATAATTTAGGCCAGGAAGAAATATCAACTTGAACATAAAAAATATCTGAGCTCTCTACAGGATGGGTCAACAAATAAAAACCTGACCCATTCTTTTGAATCTCAAATGTACATAATATTTTTGTTACTTCTGAAAGCAATGAATGAACGTGTTCCCCAAACAAAATTCCTTAAACAAATTAAATGGCTTTTATGTTTTTTAAAAATGCACACCACATCTGCACCAAAGAGCAAAGACATCCTAAAGAACTATTTAAGGAAGAATAAAAGGCAGAAGTACAAAGCACATGAAAAAGTATAGTTTAAGATTTTGTAAAAAAGAGTTATTCTAACACCAAAGTTTTCCCACAACCAGAGTCATATTGGTACTCAGTGATTCTCATTTTCCTTTGCTCGAAGCTTCAGCAGGTGTCGGGATTTGGCAGCATCTCTTAAGGGCGGTACTGAGATCTCTGCTCTTGGATGTACTCGTAGAGTGGGCTGGAGCGCACCGGGGCACTGGCAAACTGCCGCTTGCCAGCGTCCAGGACCTGCCGGAGGCCCTTGTCTTCCTCCCACACTTGGCGGCGGCTCTGCTGCACGTCGCGCTCTTGGCGACGCCTCTGCTCCTCCTGCTGCTGGCGGCGGAGCTGTTCTTCCTCCCGGAATTTCCTCTCCCGCTCCTGGCGGCGTCTCTGCTCTTCTTGCCTCAATTCTTGTTCCTGACGACGCCTCTTCTCCTCCCTAGCAAACTGCTCCTCCTCCCGGTACTGCTGCCGGCGCCTCAGCTCTTCCTGCTCCTCGCGGTGCAGCTGCTCTTCTTGCTCGAGGAACTTCCTGTCCTGCTCCTGGACGCGGCGCTTTTCTTCCTCTCGCTCGCGCTGGAGGCTCTGCTCTTCCTCGAGGAATTTCCTGTCTCTCTGCCTCTGACGTCTCTGTTCTTCCTCTTGCTCGGCGCGCCTCAGTTGTTGCTCCTGGGAGAAGACCCCCTCAAGTTCCTGACGGCGCAGCTGCTGTTCTTCCCTTTCTCGGAGGAGCTGTTTCTCTTCTCGGAACTTTCTGTCGCGCTCCTGGCGGCTCAGCTGTTCCTCCCTTTCTCGCAGGAGGTGTTCTTCCTCACGGAACTTCCTGTCGCGCTCCTGGCGGCGCAGCTGTTCTTCCCTTTCTTTCAGAAGCTGTTCCTCCTCACGGAACTTTCTGTCGCGTTCCTGGCGAAGTTGTGGCTCGCGGTCCTGGCGGCGCAGTTCTTCTCTTTGCCGCAGGAGCTGTTCCTCCTCACGGAACTTTCTGTCGCGCTCCTGGCGGCGCAGCTGTTCTTCCCTTTCCTGCAGGAGCTGTTCCTCCTCACGGAACTTTCTGTCGCGCTCCTGGCGGCGCAGCTGTTCTTCCCTTTCCTGCAGGAGCTGTTCCTCCTCATGGAACTTTCTGTCGCGCTCTTGGCGGCGCAGCTGTTCTTCCCTTTCCTGCAGGAGCTGTTCCTCCTCACGGAACTTTCTGTCGCGCTCCTGGCGGCGCAGCTGTTCTTCCCTTTCCTGCAGGAGCTGTTCCTCCTCATGGAACTTTCTGTCGCGCTCTTGGCGGCGCAGCTGTTCTTCCCTTTCCTGCAGGAGCTGTTCCTCCTCACGGAACTTTCTGTCGCGCTCCTGGCGGCGCAGCTGTTCTTCCCTTTCTTTCAGAAGCTGTTCCTCCTCACGGAACTTTCTGTCGTGTTCCTGGCGAAGTTGTGGCTCGCGCTCCTGGAGGCGCAGTTCTTCTCTTTCTTGCAGGAGCTGTTCCTCCTCACGGAACTTTCTGTCGCGTTCCTGGCGGCGCAGCTGTTGTTCCCTTTCTCTCAGGAGCTGTTCCTCCTCACGGAACTTTCTGTCGCGTTCCTGGCGAAGTTGTGGCTCGCGCTCCTGGCGGCGCAGTTCTTCTCTTTGCCGCAGGAGCTGTTCCTCCTCACGGAACTTTCTGTCGCGCTCCTGGCGGCGCAGCTGTTCTTCCCTTTCTTTCAGAAGCTGTTCCTCCTCACGGAACTTTCTGTCGTGTTCCTGGCGAAGTTGTGGCTCGCGCTCCTGGCGGCGCTGCAGTTCTTCTCTTTGCTGCAGGAGTTGTTCCTCCTCACGGAACTTTCTGTCGCGTTCCTGGCGAAGTTGTGGCTCGCGCTCCTGGAGGCGCAGTTCTTCTCTTTCTTGCAGGAGCTGTTCCTCCTCACGGAACTTTCTGTCGCGTTCCTGGCGGCGCAGCTGTTCTTCTCTTTCTCTCAGGAGTTGTTCCTCCTCGTGGAACCTTCTGTCGCGCTCCTGGCGAAGCTGCGACTCCCGCTCCTGGAGGAGCAGCTGTTCTTCCCTTTCTCGCAGGAGCTGTTCTTCGCGGAATTTTCTATTTTGTTCCTGGCCTAGCTGTTGCTCGCGTTCCAGGCCGCGCAGCTGCTGTTCCTCTTCGCGGAACTTTCTGTCGCGTTCCTGGCGGCGCAGCTGTTCTTCCCTTTCCTGCAGGAGCTGCTCTTTCTCACGGAATTTTCTGTCTCGTTCCTGGCGGCTCAGTTGTTCTTCGCGGAATTTTCTATCTCGTTCCAGGAGGCGCAGCTGCTGTTCCTCTTCGCGGAACTTTCTGTCTTCTTCCGGATAGTGTATTTTCTCCTCTCTTTCCCCTTTCAGCAACTGCTCTTCCTCTCGGAATTTCCTATCTCGCCTTTCGGTTTCCTTTTGCTGCTCTCGCTCCAGCAGTTGTTCAGCTGGGAATTGCCTGTCACGCTTTTGCCGGCTCCTCTCTTGCTCGCGTTCTCTTTTCTCTTCTTGTTCGTCCTGCAGGGGCCGCCGATCCTGCTGGAATTGACTCTCCCGCACCCAGGAATCATCCAGTTGCCGGCTCTTTTCTTTGTTCTCTCGGTGTTTGGAGTAAACCCTGTTATCACGAACTTCATTTTGGAGCAGATCCTCATCCCCCAGTTGCCTCTTCCTGTCCAGGCGCTGCAGCTCCTCCTTCTCTAGCTGTCTCTCGAGCTCCTGGCGCCTCCTCTTCTCACATTCCTCTCTCTGCAGCTGCTGCTCCTCTCTCTGCAGTCGCTCCTCCTCCCGCAGCAGCTCCTCTTCCCGATATTGTCTTTCCCGCTCTTGGCGCCTCTTCTCTCTCTGCAGCTGCTCCTCTTCCCTCTGCAGCTCCACCTTCTCTAGATACTGTCTTTCGCGTCCCTGAAGCCGCTTCTCGCGTTCCTCTCTCTGCAGTCGCTCTTCCTGCCGCTGCAGCTCCTCCTTCTCGAGATACTGCCTCTCACGCTCCTGGCGCCTCTTCTCGCGTTCCTCTCTCTGCAACAGCTCCTCTTCCTGCAGATCCACTTTTTCTAGATATTGCTTCTCGCGTTCCTCTCTCTGCAGCTGCTCCTCCTCCCGCAGCTCCACTTTCTCTCGATATTGCTTCTCGCGCTCCTGGCGCCTCTTCTCGCGTTCCTCTCTCTGCAGCTGCTCCTCCTCCCGCAGCTCCACTTTCTCTAGATATTGCTTCTCGCGCTCCTGGCGCCTCTTCTCCCGTTCCTCTCTCTGGAGCTGCTCCTCTCTCTGCAGCTCCACTTTCTCTAGATACTGCTTCTCGTGCTCCTGGCGCCTCTTCTCGCGTTCCTCTCTCTGCAGCTGCTCCTCCTCCCGCAGCTCCACTTTCTCTAGATATTGCTTCTCGCGCTCCTGGCGCCTCTTCTCGCGTTCCTCTCTCTGCAGCTGCTGCTCCTCCCGCTGTTGTCGCTCTTCCTCCCGCTGCAGCTCCACTTCCCGATACTGCCTTTCTCGCTCCTGGCGCCTCTTCTCCCGCTGCAGCGGCTCCTCTTCAAGCCGCAGCTGCCCTTCCTCTCTCACCTGCTCCCGTTGAGCTGGCTTGGCGTACAGTGTGTAGCGGCGTCTCTGGCTTTCCTCCTCTAGTTGCCACCTCCAGTTTTGGTCGTAGTGCTGCTCTTCCTTGCGTCGTTGCCTCTCCTGGTCTTCTTGAAGGCTCTGCACCTCCTCGCGGGTTTGCTGCTCCTGCTGCCTCTCGAGCAGCTCCTGCTCCTGGCGGCGCCTCTGCTGCTCTTGCCTGCGGGGCCTGGAGTAGACTTTGCACTGACGGGCGTCGGCCTCACTTTCTAGCTGCCACTGACATCTCGAGGTGCGGCTCTCGCCCCGCTCACTGATCTCTTCCTGCGTCGCCTCGTCCTGCTCGCGCCTTAGCTGCTGCTCCTTGCGCTGCAGCTCCTGCTCCCGCCTCTCCTGCTCCAAGAGCCGCTCCTCGCGCTCGCGCCTCTGCCTTTGCAGCTGCAGCTCTTCCTGCAGACGCTCCCTCTTGAGCTCCTGAGTCTCCCGCCTTTGGAGCTGCTCTTCTTCCTGGCGCTCGCGCAGCTCTCCTCTTTGCCACTGTTGCTGTTCCACCTGGAGGCGCTGTCGCTCCCGTTGCTCCTGCCTCTCGAGCCTTTGCTCTCGGTTCAGAAGCTCCTCCGGCTCCCGACCCTTGGGCCTTTGCTGCAGCTCTTCCTCACCACACTCTTCTTGTTCTCGCCTTTGCAGCCTCTGCTCGAGTCTTTCTTGCTTCTCCCTCAGCTCCTCTTCCTCCGCGAGCTCCTCCAGTTCCTGCCTCTTCAGCCTGCGTTCTTCTAGTTGTCTGTCCTGGGGCTCGAATCTCCTTTGGTCTTCCCTCCTGCGATCTTGTAACGGGTTTCCCTTTCCCTCACGCTTGGCTTCCTTCTCATTTAGCCCCGAGGCCTGGCCGAGAGCGTAATAACAAGCTGCAGCCACTTTGAAAACGATCGCGAGGAATTCATGGAAATCGATTAGCCCGTCACGGTCGCGATCTTGAAGTTCCAGGACCAGGTCTACCGTTTCTGGGTCGTGTGGTCTCTGAAAAAGAAATCAAAACTTTTACAATGTACTATTTACAGGTAGTAAACTCCCCCACCCCCAACACTGTATATTTTATAATATGCTGGTACTCAAAAGACATTAAGAACAATTAGAAAAACACTCAGTGTATATGGAGTCTTGTCCGCATGTAAAACGTGAACAACCTAATTTTAAAGCATACATTTGTTGGAAATTTTTGCATCTTATAATTTAATGCTGATCAGAAGAACACAAGTTATAGCTGGGTAAATAAGAATGAATTCATCCTCAAGAGACAAAGCAGTGGAAATTTATGAAGATTTGCAGCAGTCATTTCTGTCTAAAATAGCCAGTATGCCAATTTGATTTTTATCCCATGTTTGAAAACAGAACCAAACATTTGCAGAAATACCATTTTACTAGAGAAGAGCCTCTCCTGAGAAGAAATTTCATAGCTCTAAATCAGTAGAGAAATTTCCTTTTCTTGTTATTTCTTACCCGAAGGATATCTCCAAATTCCCTCTCAAGCAGATTCTTCAGGTCTTTCTTGCTTAGTGTTGTCCCATCACAATCATGTGAGGCATATTGATTGAAAATCTTAGTGATATTAAAGATGCTTCTCAGAAGTGGAGACATTTTTTTCTTCCTTCAAGTTCAAGTAAACCTAGAACAATAAAATTGGATTCAGAATCAAACTCTGTTTCTGATCTTGGGGAGGCTTTCTCCACAGTTTCAGGCAGATCCCTAAATAATTTGACTTTACCAAAGTATTTTCAACTGGAACTTTCAAAGCATTTTATCTTTGAATATGGCTCAGTTGGTAAAGAATCTGCCTGCAACACAGGAGACCCTGTGTTCACAGGAGACCCTTACCCACAGGTTTGATCCCTGGGTGGGGAAGATCCCCTGGAGAAGGAAATGACAACCCATTCCAGTACTCTTGCCTGGAGAATTACATGGACAAACGAGTCGGGCAGGCTACAGTCCATGGGATCACAAGTCTTTGGACACGACTGTGTGACTGATTTTCACTCTCATGTAGTGCTTATAAAAGGAAAGACAGATCCTGAAAAATTTCAAGCCAGGGATGCATCTCAGGCTATTCTGTAGTTAGCACTTGATTTTCTACCCAGTTTGTATTATCCATATCCTTTCTCTTTCTTCCTATTCCCTAGTATTTTTCAAATCAGACAGTGAAGATTGTAGATATTTAGATTTGATATGTTGCTACTAAAGAATTTTCCTCTAAAATTGAGCAATGAGGCTAGGTAAAAACCAAAAGGTGAAGGATCTTAAAATGAATAAGTAAACCTAATTGTAGCAGCAAAACATTTGGTGGTAACTGGAACAATAAAAAGGGAATGTGGATTATTTCCTAACTTTATATAGTCTTTTAGAGATCTAGAAGTATAATTCGTAAGTCACCAGCTCTTAAGTACTACTTCCTAGTCAAAGGTGGTATTGTAATATTTAGATGTATTAATGCAGAAAACAAAGTTCATGTTATTAGCCTTAATTCCTATGTATTACAATTATTCAATCATTGTAAGTTTCTGTTAGGTGCTTTCTGACTGGCTGCCAGATTCTGTGAGTCAAACTGAACCTGGAAACCTGGCTTCTTTAGTTTCTTCTCAACTTCAATACTTCAGGTGCCATAACCACATGAACATAGTCCATATTGTGTAGAAGCAATATAAAAAAGAGAACTGAGGGCTGGCAAACTTTTGAGAGAGCAGTTTTTAGGAAGATGAGCAACGTAAGTCATATATGACCATCCTCCAACCCCTGATGTGCAAACAAACTTACAGAGTTAAGTGCTCCATAGAAAGATGGCATGGAGTTAGTAGGAATTAGGTATATCTGTAAGATACTGATGCCATCTGTCACACAGACCCTCCTTAACCACCACCCCCTCCAACATCTATAACAGCTGGAAAATGACGAATCGTACAGAAGAACAAGATCCCACCGAATGGGACTTACCCGCTTCACCAGAGGAAGAGGTCAAGTGCTCGCTGACACTGCTGGCAGGTGTACTGAGCAGCCGGGAGCTGGGCCTTTTATAGAGGTTTTAATTGTGCCCTGAAGAGCAACTTAGAAAGGAGACACCCACTCTGTGGGATGGCCTGATTCATTCCTAACCAAGCCCAGCTCCACCTCTGTCTCCACGAATGACTTTATCTTGCAATTTGCTCACGTAGCTCTTTGGCACGAGGTTCACAGACCTTTCCTCCTGACAGAGTACTGTCTCCACCTAACATGAAAGGATAGAATATTTGGCAGAATCTCTAATTTTCCTTAATTGTTAAAATTAAATAAAGAAATTCATGTTCAGAATCTTAGTTAATTGCAATTTCATTACAACGTAGTGACCTGTAAACCATTTACTTTATAAAAGATATAAATTCTAGGCTGAGGTTAAACAGAAATTTTGGCTTAAATTAATGAGACCCAGATCATTTCTTTCTGGGATATGGCAGTCCATGGGGAACTGCCTGAGGCCATTCTAGGTCAACAAGAGTTTGTAAGGAACTCGTTTTAATTTCTTCTCTAAAAATGCTGGTGGGAAAACATTTGCATCTATATTCTTTGGTCTTATGATTTATCCTACAGATTGGAGATCATGTCCTTAGAAAATAATTTTGAAGGGTACTTAAAAATATGTTTTCATCAAATTGTTCATAAAAGAACTTGAAACCTGTGAAATTTTATTATTAGTGATATTCTATCTAAATGAAATTTGCTGATTTCTTTTCTCATTAGCATATTGATGCCCCTGGAGGAAAAGAGCTGGTGTAATGCATTATTGTAGATATAATCATCTTGTTCAGCTCCAGTTACTGATAATTATGACACCTAAACACTTGAGTCTGGTTCTTGTGGAAGCACATTAAGGTAATCAGTCATTCTGACCCATTATGTTTGTCAGGGCTTTCTCAACTCTGGCGATCATTTGCAAATATCAGCATTGTTTTATTGTAAGGACCTGGATTTTATCCCTGGTTGACTCTCACCCTTACATTTCAGCCAGTATGAAACTTTGATTTGTAATAGGTTTATGGAGACTATTAAATGATTCAGTGGTTTTTGGCATTTATCTCTCTCCCTTTGTCCAACAGAGGCAAGTATAGGTTTTTTGAATTTTGATGAGACTCTGTAGGATCCTCCAGTGGAATACGAAGATTTGGGACCTAAGTCCTGATGGCTGTATTTTAATGTTCAAGTTGGTCTGAATGATAGTGATCTTGAATTCCATTTGTCCCTTCCCTTGTTGCTATGCTGGAAGTGGGGTGGAGAGGAAAGTGGAATTGATTGGCAATAGGAAGACAGTTGTAAGCCTGGCTCAATTCTTCATCCTTAAGGACGTCAGCATCAATGTCTGTGATCTAAGGGTTCTGTTAGAACTGTCACCATTTCTTCGACTCAGCAAACTTGATGTAGCAGCTCCTTAGTGAAGAATGAAAATTTCTCTTTTTGCCTTCTATTTAGGGTTTTATAGAGTTCTCTTAATCTTTGAATTCTAAGATGGAATCATCATGAGCACTATATACACTGTAACCACAAACCATCACAGAACCTCTGTATCTCACACAGGGTAATAGTCCTTTTTATGGGTGTCTTTCAAGGAATTCCCTCGACAAACCTTGCCTTATGTCTGATTCTGTTTTTATCTGCCTGTATGATCTGTTACAGGACCTCAGCCCAGGTGGTGGGATGCATTTGTATGATTTAATTACACTTCTATAGTTAATACACTCAAAAAAGGACTGGACATTCATTAGGTTCTAAGAGAATAAAGGGAAAATACTAATCATCTAGTGGATCTTCCCTGTAACTCAGATGGTAAAGAATCTGCTTGCAATGCAAGAGACCCGGGTTTGATCCCTGGGTCAGGAAGGTCCTCTGGAGAAGGGAATGGCAATCCACCCCAGCATTCCTGCCTGGAGAATCGCATAGACAGAGGAGCCTGGTGGGCTATTAGTCTGTGGGGTTGCAAAGAGTCGGACATGACTGAGCAACTAACACACACACATCAGTCATCTAAAATAGTTGAATAAGCAGAAACAAATATAGAAGCAAACCCAAAAGGAAAGATGCTTCTGAACATCCTTGAGAAAGTTGCTTCTATTGCAGTCACAGTAACAGAAAAAACCCTTCACCACTCTGAATGAATCTAAATCTTAAATTCAGTGGTGGCTCTCTTCAGTTCAGTTCAGTCGCTCAGTCATGTCCGACTCTTCGCTGCCCCATGGACTATAGCCCACCAGGCTCCTCTGTCCATGGGATTCTCCAGGAAAGCATACTGGAGTGGATTGCCATTCCCTTCTCAGTTCAGTGGCTTTCTTACCCACTTTGTTTAAAGTCAGTACAATGTGAGAGAAAATATTTAAAAACCTGAACAAACCTAAGAGAACTAGCCTCTCTTCCTTGCTGTTCTCGGTCCATTATCAGAAACACTGTAAGCAGGTTCAAATGCTAAATTGTAAAATCAGATTTGATATTCTCCTAATGAAGTGATCCTCATTGTTATATAATGTTCTTGTATTTAACAGTGTCATTAGTTTACAATATTATTTTAAAAGGACCTCCTGACATAATGCTTAGATAGGAAATGATTTTCTTTGCTTTCTCATTCCTTAAAAGGTTGGTAAATGTCAGAGAATGTAGAAAATTATCAATTCCTAACTTATTCATTCCTTTTTTTTTTAAAGACCAACTTGGAATCCTTGAAATGTGGCAGTGTCGCTCATTGTGGTTCATCAAGAAATGTGTTGTTGTTTTTTTTTAATCGCCTGAAGATCTCTATATTCTTTGTAGACAAAAAGTCTCTTTCTATTTATTTTATAGACTGGAGACTGAGAGGTCAGAGAATGTCACTGACTGGCCCAAGAATGATCCGAGTGCCTGTGCTCAATTCTGCAAAAATGTTCCTCTTTATCAAGGGTTAATGATGGTAAGTTCAGAGCACAGCTTCAGTGTTGTACTGTTTCTTGGCTTTGAGAAGATTTGAACTCTTTAAGAGGAATTGAAAAGAGATTATAAACTTTATATCACTCAGATGCTTTATAATTATTAGATCAATCATGAAGCCTCATCTGTGTTAAAATCTTTGGGTGTGGAGCTCTGTTGGGGTAACAGACAGAGAACTGAGATGGTCTTAGGTTTTTCCAGAGAGACCACAGAACCCATTTTCTCTTCTCAGAACCCAGAAAAAGTAGATGATATATTTGACATTCTGTGGCATTCTAGCAGAACAAGGGTCTGTCTTGGCCTTATTGGAAAAACCACCAAAATCAAAATTTAGATAAAGCAGTGAAAATTCCACTGTCATCCTCAGCCTAATGGGCTTCTCCAAAACCCAGTGTGAGCCATGATGTGGATTCTGGGAAAATATCTAAGTAGGATGATTTTAGATGGCTTTAAAGAAAGTAAGTTTCATTGGTAAGTTCTCTATAAACATTTCTTCAGTGAAGACTTTTTCTTTAAAATTATATGTTAAACCTTTCAAAATTTCCTGTTGTTTCTTTTTATTCAATGACCTATCCCCTGGAACCCCACCTCTGCCAGTCCAAAATCTAACATATTTTCTCTGAGGCCTCACACAAGTTCCATCTACTCCCAAAACCTTGCTTGAC